AAATGTTGACACCTACATTATGTCATAGTTTGTAGAAATGTTAAACTTATTTGTAAAATTTAGTGAGTAAATGCCATGACCTGAAAATAAACATACAAAAAATGTTGACTTCTGAGATATCTAGGATCCTAATGAGCTCAGATGGAAGGGAGTAGGGGTGGGGATGGAGGCAGCAAGGGCTGTCTGAATGCCCAACAGGAATCCCAAGAGTAGTCCCTCTCAGGACTATCCACTGCCTCCCAGGAGCGCCTCTGAGGCTGAGCACCACCATCTTCAAAGCTGCTCTGAAGCCCCCAGAGGGGAAAATCATTCAATCCTTCAATCCAGTTCCTACAGATATAAAATTAACTGGACAAGCAGAATAAAAACTTCCCAAGAGTGGGAAAGTTTTAAATGATGCAAGTTCCTCTCCTTACTTTTCCACAGGAAATACACAAACACTCCATCAGTGCCACTGGAATGGCAGAAACAATGACACAAACATTTTCTCTATTTAGAAAGAAACTAAAAGTCCCAGTACAAGCAAGTCAACTGAAGATGATTTCCTTTTGAATAAAGCATTTGATTGGGTCTTGGGGCATGTTTGGTTGTAAGGATTTGAAATCCACCCAAGGTCCTAAAGCAAAAAAAGGAAATGTATTGGATCACTACCCAGTATTTCCCGATCATGAAGCACAGCTGGCTTCAAAACGGATTGGATTCACTTGACGAAGAAGAAAATGCCAATTGCTTTAGTCTTCTCCACAACAACCAGCTTTTCTGAATTAACTATGGATCCATCCTGGCTTTACATATTCCTTGTTTAAGATCCACTACTATAAAGCTGAATAGTTCCTACAAGCTGATTTCAAAGTTATGGGGAAAAAAGCCCACTGTTACATTAGATGTCTGTCCTTGGCCAATCAGCTATGGCTGGGAAGGGCTGGGTCAGCAATTCCAGTTCACTGTGCACTCAGGAGGGGGTGTATCAGCTGACTGAGAAGAGGAGCATGAAAGTCAAATGACCAGAGTGCCTGTCAGACATGTCAGTCCTTTCATCCCCTATCAAAGTACAGTTTGTTACATGACTTTATTAAAAAAAAAAAATCACAGAAATAGGTACCAGTACAGGAACATGGACTAGGTCTGGAGAACTAATCTCTCAGATAAAATTGTATGTATCTTTTATAAAGCACAACTTCTTAGTGCTGCGTATTTTCACCTGCCAAATAAAGATAATCACAGTTGTCCTTGTAACTCACAGGATTATAGAAAGGATAAAGAAATAATAGACATGAAAGCGCTTTACAACATTAAAATGATGTTCTTTATACTCAGCACACTAGAAAGCTTCTCTTCTGAATTCTAACTCAGTCTTCGCTGTTTCTATGGAAACACTTGAGTTCAGGGATCATTTGTCAAAACAGCCATTTTAGGTTATCTCTCTAGGTGGACAAATCATAATTTTGGGGTGGCGTGTTTTACAAGCCATGTGGTTACATAGCATACACATGGAAGATAGGAGAAAGAAGAGCTACAAAGATTACAGAAAGGCAGAAAATTGAAAACAACCAAAACACAAAGCAAAAAACAAGAGGGAAACATCCTCAAGAAAACAAACATATCTATAACAGTTTGCAATGATTTGTATTCCCTGTCCACTAAGGACAAAAGGAATGAAAATAGGTGACAAATGATGGATTTGAATAAGAGAGAAACTCCTGGGAATGAGGGCAGCTAAGTATTCTTTACTAATAAAATTATTCCCCGACTCCTTCCCAAGCAGCAAATGACACATTCTTTGACAGCAGGATTTTGTTGCCTTCATCTTTGTTTCCCCAGCACCCAGTGCAGTGTCTGCCCTATAAGCACTCAGCTAATATTGTTGAAGACCTGAATGCTCAGAGGCTGAGAAGGTAGCAAGAGACAACAGCCATTTTTATCCTTTCTCTATGCAAGAAATTAGTTCCTTGGCACCAAGGAGGAGAAGGGAGACATTTCATTTAACTTCTCCCTACCAACACAAAATGTGCCAACAGTGAGAATGCTTTTGCTTTTGTGGACCTAGAGGTGATCCTCAAGTACAAAGTGTTCCTCTACGCTGTTATTTTTTAGAGTAGCCTGACATTTCTACCAAAGTCTTTTGCTTTATGTTTTATGGCTCTTAGTCTGCTCATGTCATTGGACTCGACTTGTCAACAATCAGCAGTCCTTGAGACTGTGTTCAGAGAGCGACCAAGCTTCCAGTACTGCAGAAAGCAGTATGGCCAGTGCTCAAGAGACTTGGAATAGATCTGATCTTAGCAACAACTGGTTATCTAGACTTAGGCTCCTCATTGAGCTTCTCTTGATCTGCTTCCTTACTCCTAAAATGAAGAAGTTAAGCTAGGCGTTAGAGAATGCCTCAATTCCTTTACTGTATGGTATCAAGCCAGGCACCAGATAAAAAGCAAACATGGTATTTCTTGTATTTTTAATTCCATATTTTCAGCAACTTCTGAGTACATTTAAAGCCTGAATCTTATTTACATCTGAGGCACCTGTTTTTTTTTTTTTTATCTCTAAGAGGATGGGTTCATCTTCTTCATCTCCATTACAATGAGGCAAACATGACAACATAAAAACAATTTTTTTTAAATAAAAAAGCCAACTTTACTACCAAAATAACTGAAAGAAAAAAGTCAAAGAAAAAAAATATTTTTTAAAGATTTATTTATTTATTCATACAAGCAGTGGGTACAGTCAGAAGCGAGGGAGGGTGACAGAATTCACCAGAGCCAGAGTGGGGAACAGAACAGGCAGACTGACAAAGTACACTGCTAAGGGGAGCAGCGGGCAGCAGGAGAGGTCTGCGCACCATGTGGGACCCTCACCCCGCGGCCAGGGATCAAACCAGCTGCGGGCAGCTTCACAACCCAGCACTCAACCACTGTACCACTGGGGAGGCCCCAATGAAAAAATTTTAAACACAAACACAAAAGAGCAAAAATCCAGCCTGGGGCCTTCTTGGTGGCACAGGGGTTAAATCTTAGCGTTATCAAGCTATCACCAGCCACTGCAGCCTGAGTTCCCTGAGTTTGATCCCTGCCAAGGAGCTAACCCACATATGGTACGGAAGACCTCTCCTGTCTTGCCTGCTGCTCGGCCTGTTCTGCTCCCTAATCTGTCTCTGGTGAATCCTCTCACTACTACCACTACCCTCCCGCACCTCTGGCCTACACCCCAGTTCTTAGATGCATAAATAAATAAAATAAATCTTAAAAAAAAAATTCCAGTGTGTCAAATATAATAATGTGTAATTAACACATCACAGTTGAATTACTTCCAGTTCAATTTGTAGCAGGTCCAAGCAAATAAACATTACTAAACATATAAATGATCATCTCAATTATGCCTCAATCCAAAACAAACTTTTGACAGAAGGAAAACATGTTGCTCCAAAGAATAAACTGGAACAGAGCAGAACTTTCTTTAGCCTTTGTAGAAATATTAGGTTTGCAAATGTCTTTTAAAAAAATTACTAGATTCAAATTTACTAGAATAATCTAACGTAGCCTTTCTAGTCCATACTCCAAGTCCTAATGTCACAAGGCATCCATGGTAGAGAATGGTTCTTTCAGAATCATTCTTGAAAGAACTCAGGAAACCATTTCTCAAATTATTTACTATAAACCCAGTTCAGAAAAGCTGATTTAACAAACTTAATACTCAGTATTCCTTATACTTCACCTCTTCACAACAGTCTGTGTTCTCACAAGCCATAGGAATATGATGACAGAAATGGATCAAGTATTAGCAAAATATACACAATGAGGAAAGCTATAGAAAATGACTGGATTCCAGGGCCTCCCGGGTGGTGCAAGGGATTAAGACACAGTACTGTGAAGCTGTCCACCCCTGCAGCATGGGTTTGATTATGGCTGGCTGCAGAGCTACCCACATGGCACAGAGACCTCTCCTGGCTCGCCCACTGCTCCCCTCAACAGTGTATTTCAGTAGATCTGCCTATTCTGCTCCCGGCTCTGTCTTTGGTAAATCCTCTCTCCCCCCACACCTCTGGCCTGTATCCCAGTTCTTGTACGCATGAATAAATAAATCTTTAAAAATAAAAAAGATGACTGGATTTCTAAAGAAAAAGCAAGCAGATCAAGATAAATTTTAAAAGACCTGTATATCAAAAGAGATTTAAGAACATCAAATAGGGCCTCCCTGGTGGTGTAAGGGGTTAAGCACTGCACTACCGCACTATGAAGCAGTCCGCAGCGTCTGCAGCACGAGTTTGATCCTGGCCGGCCATGGAGCAACCCACATGGTGCAGCAGACTTCTGCTATCTCACCCACTGCTCCCCTCAGCAGTGTATTCGGTCAATCTGCCTGTTCTGTTCCCCACTCTGTCTCTGGTGAATCCTCTCACCCCCCCCCCACCCCCCGCATCTGTGGCGTGTACCTCAGCTTTTGTATGCATAAATAAATATTTTTTAAAAAATCAAATAATTATAATGTACAAACTTAACTTTGATTTTGAATCAGTAACTCATTTAAAAACAAAATTTATGAGACAACTGAAGCAACATAAACCTTAAGTGGTTATGATATTCAGGAATTAATTTCTAAGCATGATGATATTAATCTGATTATATTTAAAAAGAGTCCTTTTCAAGGAGAAATCTTTCAAGATTAAGGATTATAATGTCTGCATTTCTTGACAATCAGGGACATGTACAAGCACAGAAGAAATAGAAATGGCCATAAATTGATCATTGTTCAAGGAGGAAAATAGATTTAAAAAAAAAAAGTTTACTACACTATTTGCTCAGTTTTTGCATATGTTTGAAAAGTTCCCCTACAATATTTTTTTTTTTTTGGAAGAAAATCACCTTATTTTAATTCACAAACAGTAGCGCCACAAAAGCAGATTTAAGGAAGTCAAACATTTTCCCCATCCCCAAACTCAGTATCATTTCAGTGAACTTCTAACAATACCGTCTTCCATTGTAATGAAGCCATTAGTGACAGATTTAGCTGGTAGCTTTATACTTGCATTTCACTATCTTTTATATTTTTGTATTAAATTAACTTCGTCAGGAGAGATGATTTTCCATGCCTTCAATTTGAACTTCTTGATTAGGCTAATCCATTTGCAAATCTGCACTGTTTGAGCACCTCACTGAAACCCTCACAAAGCTTGAGGTCACCCTGGTTCTGGGCACACTCCAAAAACTGCTTCATCTCATAGTGGCATGGGCCAAACTGCTGCTGCTGCTGCTGGTATGCTGGCTGGGTTCCCTGAGGTTCCTGGTAAGTGATGTCAGGCCTTGCGGGCTCAGCATTACTACCTCCACTGAAACACCCAGTGATGGCATAACCTATTGTGTATCCAAGAGCAGAGCCCACAGCCACACCTGCTGCAGTGGATGCCATCTGGGCCATGAGGCCTGGCTGACGAGGAGCAGCAGCAGGTGTGCCAACAGCAGATGGGGGAGCTGCTGCTGGTGGCTGAGCTGCAGGTGGTGGCCTGGATGCAGCTCTCATCTGAGGTGCCCGGCTGGCTGGAGAGGCCATGTGGGAAGTGCAGCTACAGCTTCCACGCAGCATCACAATGGCACGGTGGCTCAGCGTCAAGAACAGCGGCACTCGAGACCCAAACTGCCTACAATATTTTTTTTAAAGAAGAAAACTAAACCCAAAATACAATACAGGTTTCATGCATAATTTGAATGAACTCTGATCTCATAACAGCTTTTATTACAATTAAAAAACTACTGATCTTAAATAGTCCAATCTAAAAACAGCTGAAATTTGTGCTTTTCTTCTGCCATCCATGGAAATGATTTTCAGTCCCAATGAAATTTTAAATAATTGTGGCATTCCTGGGTAACATAAAGCTCAGGAAATCTCATTGTTATATCTGTCATACTTGGTGCAGCATTTCTATTAGAGATGTTCTTTAGCATGAAATGTTAGCAAGCAATTTAAATAAATTTCATTTTTAACTTTCTGAAGATATTGGCAAATCTTCATTCAGGCTTTTGGCTTTCAAAGGCTGAAGAAATGGTCAAGTGTGTTTTTGTGTCCTTTTTAAAACTCTTGTTGAAGAAAATGTCCTTTTTATTGCCTAGAATCCCCTTTGTATGTCCTACATTAGCAATTTTTTTTATACCTCAGTTCCAGAAAAACACTTTGTCTTTCAAGAGGGCTAATACTCTAATTGTTCAATAAATAATATAATGCAGTTTCTTTTTAGTCCAACTTTCCAAGAAACTCAACATTAAATACAATTACTGCTCTGTCTTATTATATGTCTCCCCTTTCATATGTTTTAAATCTTTTTGTATGAGTCACTTATTATAAAAAATGTATTCTTTAGAATTAGTAATAATGTCATCGACATTTTATCCACATTTTAACATTTCTGAAACTATTATGCATCTTATAATTGGTATAGTTTTCACGGAAGTATTTTTTCTTTATTTACAATTACATCAATAATGATGTCTTGTATTTTATTGCAGTTTAGATTTGACAAAATATTAAAATGTCTTCAATAATTATTCTGTAATATGAAAATACTATTATAGCAGGACAATAAAACTGGAAAAACTACGGATGGATTTAAGCTTTATTAAATATCTCAATTTATCTGTATTATATTTCAAAGAGCTTTGAAGAGTTTGTATTGCACTGACATTTAAAAATTAATGTGTAACAAAGGAATTGGACTTTGCTCTACACAATTATTTCTAAACATTTTGCATTTTGCATTATACTCTTTGTTCCAGTAGAAAATGTTATGTGAACTTCACATGAGCAACACTATCAACATATAATTCCCCAGAACCACATGAACAAGATAATTTATTCAGATCCTAATAAGACTCAACAAAGCTTATTGGATCAATGACTTCAAGTAAGCACCACTGTCATTATCATTTGACCACAACAAACAAATCAACCACATTTCCCAGCGAGGAGGAGAATAAAATGTTCCACAGTATGTACATTCTAAAAATCATTTCTATAGTGCACCCCTGAAGAAAAGCCTTGGGATCAGCACTAGTGGCTACCTGTCTTAGAACTAACTGAAATTTTGCTCTTGACAGATAATATATAAACATATTTTAGAAATTGTTTGACCTGAATGTTACTAATATGGGCATAACCTGCTGCATTTTTGTTTGGCATTCATAATAATATTTTCTAGTTATCTTGTTATACCAACCTAAAAATCATGTGTTTCTACTGAGGATATACCAATTTCACAGATCTCAAGGAAAACACATACCTAGAAGATCTCACTAGTCACTTGCACTCCAGGACTTATTCCTTCTTTTTTCTGTAGTCTTATAGACCTTGTCATTTCCACCACCACTGGCATTTGTTTAAACCTTTCCTTGTGGTTTAGACTATAATGAGAGAAAACACAGTATAAACCTGTGGTTAAGGATGTGGATTTTAAATACCCAGACTCAAATCCTAGGCCTACCTTCTAACAGTGTGACTTGGGACACATCTCTTAATCAATCTTGCCATCATTTGTAAAATCAGGATGATTTCCCCCTTGCAAGAATGTTACTAAGATTTTATTAGAACATGTATGAAGAGCTTGACACAGTGTTAGGATCATTATTGTTATTAGAATTTAATTACACCTTTGCCAAGAGCCAAATGGGCAATTACCTGGCCCAAATCTGGCAGTGAGAAAGAAGGGTAAGCTGTCAGCAGACAACTCCCAGCAGTGGAAGTTACAGGCCATCCTTTATAGGATGGAATGACTAATACCCCACTCTATTCTCCAGAGCATCATGCAAGTTTTTGGAAATGTACAGAGTACAGCAAATAGTCTGTGCATTCAAGGAGCTCACAACCTCATATAGAAGAATTCCCACATGCAAGAAATACATAGTAAATAAATAAATAGGAGAGAAGAGACAAATCTCCTTTGCAGAAGAATCACCAATCTATTTCTGTAACTATTCTACTTTCAAGGAAGTTGAACATAACAAAGAAGACAGCATGGAAAGAGTGGAGGGAGAAAGAGTAACGTGCCTGAAGCAACCTAGCAAACAAAACCTCAGTTAGGTGACTAATGTTAACATCAACACTTTTGTATATATCTTTGATATGAAGTAATGAGAATGTTACTTCACCTCTGTGGTCTTCCTCCCAAAACTCATAACCCTGGTTGAATGATAAGAAAAACACTAGGCAAATCCCAATTGAGGGGCATTATACAAAATACCTGATCAGTACTCTTCAAAACTGCCATGGTCATCAAAATGAAGAACATCTGAGAAAGTGTCACAGCCAAAAGGAGCCTAAGAAGTCACATCAATTTAATGTAATAGTGTATCCTGAATGGGGCCCTGAAATAGAAAATGGGGCCCTGAAATAGAGAATGGGGTCCTGAAATAGAAAAAGGACATTAGGTAAAAATAAGGAAAATTGAAAAATTTATAGACTTTAGTTAACAACAATCTATCAGTATTGGTTCATTAATTGTAACAATTGTACCATACTAAAGTAAGATGCTAATAATGAGGAAACTGGGTATATGGGAACTTTTTGTGCTATCTTAATGATTTTCTGTAAACCTAAAAATGTTCTGAATAAAAAGTTTTTTTCAAAAAAAGGTGAAAATGGCATGACAAACTGAGGCTGATTCCTTCATTCAACAAATATTTCTTGAGTACCTATTATGTGCTAGACACTTTCCTGGGGAATGGGGATACAGAAAGGAACAAGAGAGAAAGATCCTTGACCTTGAGGAGTTTATATGGGTTGTGCTCAGGGCCTTGTAGAACTAATTATATGTTCCTGTAGTTGTAGCATTCCTTGCTTAGGAGGGAAGTTTCAGTGGCATTCCAGGGGCAATGGGACTTTCACTACCTCTTGTGAAGAAGGGGTAAGCATGGCCCAGGGTCAAGTTTAGAAGTGAGAGGTGAACAGAAAACAGCCTGTATAAGAAAAGATGGGTGCTAGAACAACTGGGAGCCAAGATGGCACAGCCAGAGTTTCCTAAGGCCTCCAAGAAAACATCACAGCACCTGAAGAATTTTTATGCCCCGGGAGCATTTGCACAGTCACAGAGCATGGCCAATGGAAGGTTCCTTCCAATTGCTTGGTCTAATTCCCTTCACTTTATAGGAAAGGAAACTGAGGCCCAGAAAAAGAAAGTCACAGGCTATCTGAATCAATTTTTAAATTTTCACTCCTCAGAGACTACGAACATTTATTCTACTACTAGAAATCATCATAAACTGAAAGATTAGATAGAAATACTTGCTTGATGTGTGAAACAGGAAGGGAAATCAGGGAAATTAGACATAAAATGAACAACGATGCAGGTTAAATAAGATAAGTAATAGGAGTTTCTAAACTGATTATCCTCTAACCAATCAAAGAAACTTATGAAATACTGTAGGTTAAACTGTAGCCTTCCTAAAAGGGAACAAAATTGATTTAAGGTCATTCCAGTGAAATAAAACTGAGTTACTACGTATTGCATTAGCTCAGTAACGTTTGCAGGGGAATTGAAGTGGTATAAGAGGTGGGGCAGGACTGATTTTTCTTTAAATAAATAACAACAAAAACATAAAACTTCAGGGTAACAACAGAGTCACAATCAGGTAAGAATAGGACAGAGGGGACCTGTAAACTAATCTCATCTCTGTGGCAATGAGCCAAATCCAAACAGATAGCATGCTATTCTTGAGAAACCCTTTTAAGGCTGTCAACAGCATCCTAAAGCCTCCAGATTCCACTTAGAATATCAGTTTTGGAGGCAGCTCACTCCCTTAATAATGTTACCCATTCTGCACAGAGTTAGAAATGTGACCAGACAGCACACTCAGAGAAAATTACTTTTGAAATTGAGCTTTCAACCTTTCTGTTAAGGATTGTTTTTAAACAACCATCAGGCCAGAAGATGCTTCTATGTTTTATCAGGGGAACACAGTAGGCACATTTAAGGTGAAATTTTAACGAAAAGTTAATGAGAGAAGAATGAAAAATTAGAATTATTAGCTTAACCTCTAATATTTAACTAAGTATTATGCACCTGGGGGAGCATATTAAAATCATCCAGAGAGCTTTAAAAGATTTCTAATGCCCTGGCCCCATCCCAGGTCAATTATTTTCCAGTCTCTTGTGGGGGCAGAGGACTCAGGATTCACTTCTTTTTAAAGCTCCCCAGGTGATTTCACTGTGTAGCCCAGTTAGAAACCCAATACTCTACGGGGAATTAGTCTAAATTCTGAATATCAAATATTCTTAATTAATGCAGGATAAACTAACGAGGTTTATCCTAGTAGTACAATACCCTGGAATTCCACCCAATAGAATACAAAACTATAATTTTAACAACATGTCTTTTAAAGTTAAACGTTCTCAGATTTCCTTGACTTTCCTCTCTTCTCAGATATTTCCACAGTAAAAGCTACTACCTCTTGGGCCTCCCCGGTGGCGCAGCGGTTGAGCGCTGGGTTGCGAAGCTGCCCACAGCCTCTTCGGCGCCGGTTCGATCCCCGGCTGCTCCCCGGCCCCGGAGGAGGATCCCACATGGTGCGCAGACCTCTCCTGCCACCCGCTGCTCCCCTCAGCAGTGTGCTTCGGTCCTTCTGCCTGTTCTGCTCCTCGCTCTGGCTCTGGTGAATTCTCTCACCCTCCCGCGCTTCTGACTATACCCAGTGCATGTATAAACAAAACAAACAAACAAATATAATAAATAAATAAATAAAAACATGCCTCTATAAAAAAAAAAAAACCACAAAAAAAAAAAAAAGCTACTACCTCTTAAGTTCAGATATTTTCCCCTCAATATACTTATGGTGAGCACAAGGTACAAACTAAGGGAGAAAGAGAAATTTTACCCCACCTGCCACACCCTCCTTGCTTGGCCTTTCAAAACATAAAAAAAAGATTAATTTCTCTTAAATGTTTCAAAACAAAATAATTAAAATGTATCTTTGGGTAAACTCGTGAAACTCAATGAGGTATTTCCTTTATTTTTTAATAGACACAGACTCAGGGTCAATCACGGAAATAGTTGCATAGTTTGGACTCTGCCAAAAGGCTCAGCGCTATTACATCATAACCAGGTGATGCCCTTTGGGAGTTCTGAATAGCATGCACCCCTGTGGCCACCTAGGTATCTGCCTGCTGAGCTGTGGGGTGGTAACTTCTCCTGGATGCCAACTCCCCCTATTTTATGTAGTATCATGACAAATAGACCCACCCTAATTGGAGGCGGTTATCCAACCTTGATTGAAGACACTCAATAAACAATAATGAAAAAAGACAGCTATAATTATCCTGCAGACTTGAAATTTCCCCCAAGGACATTATTAGGGGTGGTCACTAGATTACTGGATTTCTAAGAAGGGAGAAACTCTACCATGGAAAGGATTAAATCTTTAAAGAAGTCATGAAAATACAACTCAATTCCCACCCCCTCCAAGTCCACAAATGTTATTTAATGCGCTTTTCTCCCCAGAAAACATTCAGGGAGTAAAGGTTTAAAATAAAGGCAGACCAGGCCTCCCCGGTGGCGCAGCGGTTGAGCGCTGGGTTGCGAAGCTGCCGGCGACCTCTGCGGCGCAGCGGTTCGATCCCCAGCTGCTCCCCGGCCACTGGAGGAGGGTCCCACATGGCGTGCAGACCTCTCCTGCCGCCCGCTGCTCCCCTCAGCAGTGTACTTCAGTCCTTCTGCCTGCTCTGCTCCCCGCTCTGGCTCTGGTGAATTCTCTCGCCCTCCCGCGCTTCTGACTGTACCCAGTGCATGTATAAACAAAACAAACAAACAAACAAATAAATAAATAAATAAAAACATGCCTCTATAAATAAAAAAAAAAAGTGTTAAAAAAAAAAATAAAAAATAAAATAAAATAAAGGCAGACCCCCCAGTTGACTAGTATAAACATTGACTCATTCCTGATCAAGAGGCTCATCATTAGACTATTACAATATTTGCTTCCAGGTGGTGGTGGTAGGTTTGCTTTCCTATTATAATATAAAATGAATGGGAATAGTATTCAGCAATAAAAAGGAGGTACTCATACATGCTACATGGATGAATCCCAAAAACATTATGCTCAGTAAATGAAGTCTTATATTTTATCATTACACTTTTACGAAATGTTCACAAAAGGGAAATCTACAGAGGCAGAGAGAGATTGGGATCAGAGAGGTAGTTGACTGTCAATGGCCAGAAGGGGTCCTTCTGGGGATAAAAGTCTTGTAAAATTAATTGTGGTAATGGTTGTAAAACCATAAACTCACTTCTGAAAACAGGCAATTGCACGCTTAAAATAGATGGGTTTATGGCATACAAATTGTTGACTAGTCTTTGGACCTAAATAAAATTCTATTCTTTGGACTAAATAAAACTGAGTAAAACAGCATAAGGCAACCTCTCCTGGGTCTGCTTCCTCAGTTGCCAAGCAGATCAATTCACTGTCCTGCGAATTCGTGAATTTGGCTCTTCCACTTCCACCCGTAAAAAGTTATCAGGAGAGAGGAAAGAGGGAGGGGGTTGGAGATGAGAGATGGCAGGAAGGGAGGGAGGGAGGGAGAGAGAGAGAGACATATTACCAAATCTCATCTCATATTACGTGCAATCTCGACACCAGGTCTAGGAATTTGGAAGGCAATGAATCGTAAATATCCTTCTTGAACTAGAAAAGAAGAAAAAGCCAATGTAATGAGGTGCCCAGGACACCTCATAAGGGTTGTCCTACCCATTTCACTAAAGTGAGTCTGAGGGGATGGGAGGGGTATAATCCACTCCCACTCCAAAAGAGACCAAGGGGAAGGCTGGATGCCTAAAGAATACCAATCCCAGGGCCTCCCTGGTGGCGCAAGGGGTTAAGCACCGCACTATGAAACAATCCACAGCCTCTGCAGCACAAATTCCATCCCCAGTCAGCCAGGGAGCTACCCACGTGGTGCGGCAGACCTCTTCTGTTCCCCCCCCCCACTCCCCTCAGCAGTGTATTTCAGTCATTCTGCCTGTTCTGCTCCCCACTTTGTCTCTGGTGAATTCTCTCACCACCACCGCCCCCCCCGCCCCCGCGTCTCTGGCCTGTACCCCAGCTCTTGTATGCATAAGTAATTAAGTCTTTAAAAAACAACCACCAATCCATTGGCCAGGGTTTCACACAAATACCGGGCATATGTTTATCAAACCCACCGTAGGCTTTACATTAGAAGGAACTTGCTTTCCAGTGGGGCCGCGAAGTTGGGAAGTTTTGTTCTGAGGCCGCGCGGACGCGGTAGCGCTCCCGGGGCCCAAGGCCGCTCAGTGGGCGGCGGCGCCCAGGAAAACGCGGGTCTCCGGGTCGCCGCGAGGGGCGCGGCCCGTCAGGAAGCCTCCCCCCGCCGCGGCCCAGCCCGCACGCCCCGCGTCGCCTCACACTCGCTCCACGGCCCCTGACGCCGGCTCCAGTGGCGTCCCAGGACGCCGGCCCCGGACTTCGCGCCTCCCTCGGGGACAGCCGTGGCGTCCAGGTGCCCGAGCCGCGCGCCGCGGGGGGAGGCGCCTCGCTGGGCCGCGCCCGGGGCCGGAGCGTTTGGGGGGGCGAGGGCGGGGCTGGACGGCCGCCGCCCGGCCCGAGGGGCCCGGCTCCCAGCCCCCTCCCCCGGGACCCCGCACAGTGCTCATGCGCGCGGTCGGCCTTATAGCGGCGGCGGGCGGCGCGCTCTCCGCACTCAGCGCAGCCGGGCGCGTCCCCTCAGGTGCAGAGCCCCGGCCCGCCCGCCCGCGCGCCCTGTCTCTCCTCCGGTCTCTGTCTGTCAGGCTCCGCACAGCCCCCTCCCCGGGGCCGGCGTTGCCTATCGATTCTGGGCTTAGCTCGATTTGCAGTCGGAGCGTCGCCTCCAGATCGAGAGGGGCGCTAGCTCGGGCGCAGCGGCGTGTGCGCGCTCCTCGCTTCCCGCGGCCGCCTCGAGGTTTCCGAGGAGCCGGGGTTGGAGCAGTGGGCGAGGGCGGTGCGGCGGGGAAGTCGGGACCTGGGTTCCCCGGGCGCCTCCCTCGCATTCTCCCTCTCTCGCAGGTGCGGCTATCCCTCGACTACCATGTCTGCACCCGGGATCCCGGTTCTCTGCCTTGTGGGTACGCGCCCCTCACAGCGCCTTCTCCCTCGCGCCCCGCGGGGTGCACGCTGGAGCTAGCCCTTGTCCTCCCTTGCAGGTGTGTGCCTGCTGCTGCTGCTGCTGCCCGAGCCTGCGGGCGGCGTGGGAGCGGGTAAGTTGCGGGGTCCGGGGTGGGGGAAACCGGGCTGCCTGCAGGCGGTGGGAGGGGCTGAGGACCCGCTGCTGGGTCGCGCCGGGATGGGGCCCCAGGACTGGTGCCCGGCGCCGGGGCTGCAGGGCGCGAAGGTTGGAGCAGTTGTGGGCGCGCCTCCGTGCGTAGCCTCGGCCCACCGACTCCACTTACCGCTTTCTGCCGCGGGCGCGGACCCTCGGGTCGGATGGGGACTTTCTTTTCAAGGAGAGGAGGAGGAAGCCTTCCCGCACCCATACCCGCACCCCGGGAGCCCCCCGCTAGCCGAGCTGACGGGCGAAGGTTGAGGCGGGAGATACCCGTTAAGCCTCACGGAGGGGCACACTAGTTCCCGTCTTTCGCTGTGTTTGGAATCAGGGAGAAGCACCCCCAGACCGGACTTCAGACTGTCAAAGCCGGCCAGGAGAAGGTGGTGGGGGGGGTGAGAGGGAGAGGAGAGGAGAGAGGACCAAAAGTCGGAGACGCAAAGGGAGACACAGAGAGAAAGACACGAAGTCTGAGACAGGCTTACCTCGTTGTCCCATTGCGTTTTACCCCCTGGCAGTGTTTCTAGAAGTGATCTCTATTAAAAAAAAAAAAAAATTCGTGAACCATTCAAGACAGTCTAAAATGAGTTTGTTTCATATGTAGAAGTCTGAGTATGGATGTATGACCCTGTGTGCTTTCTACAATAAAAAAGGGCAAGCTTTTCCCCAAAATCTATCATTTGCTTTCCTTGAAATAGAAATGAAGGTAAGTATTGCATTGGGCTTTCTTTGGCATAGCCCCATGTCCTCCCCACTACTCACTAAAGTCGATGTTTGGCAGCTGAAGGGATTTCTGACTTCACTAAAAATGAAAGATTAAGGTTTTTTGAGCATGGGTATGAGATTCCTAGGTATAAGGTTACTGTTTTTGCAAGGATTTCAACTCCCCAGTTACCTGGAGTGTTTCAGAGTTAAGGAATTGGCACTGACGCTGCCATCCTGTGTTCCCTTCCATGGATATTTACAGGCCAAGATACAGGCCAGGAGACTCAACACAGAAGCTCTAGAAGAGAGTTATTGTAAGATGCGGGCTACTCAGTTGGGTAGTGATACCAGATAGTATTATGTCTTGGGGAAAAAAGTGTGTTTTGAATTAGTATTGGTTTTAAAAAGATTTGGATAACCACAATTTCCTATGTTTGGAAAATAGTATTTAATAACTTTATTCTCAAATATTCACAGTAAATTGATGAATTAACATCAATTTACATGCTACTAATGGCTTGTTACATGCTACTAATGGCTTGTTTCTACCTCGCATCTTTTGTAGTAAAAACTTTCTTTATTCATCAAATAAACTTTGTCAGATTGTCTAAAACTTGAGAGTTCCTTCTAAAAATGCATTCATTTTTATGCCTCTCTCAACAGAGCTGGAACAGAAATAATCAGTTTCAATTCAGATAAAATGTTCCATTGTGCAGACACTAACTTCACTGTTTCCTGTCCTGCAGGAGTTGCAGGATGCTCCTTGGGCTGTGTGAACCTTGAGTAAATTAATCCCATGTTTTTTCATCTGTGTAATAACTGAACTAAGTGACATTCTATAAACTGAAGCATCTTTTTACTGGGGTTGTTTAAATTAAGATATAATTTTCAGAAGGAAAACTGGTATAAGTGGTCTGCTGAAGCAAAGGATGACAAGAAAGGTTTGTTCACATGTCTGTGAAAATATTCCTTAGAGACTCGACCCAAATTTACTATCTTCTCCTCAGGCAAATACATACACAGTTGTCACCAGAATTGACATTTTTATATTTCTAGGATGAATGTCAATGATGGAAGTTATATTCTAGTTCTGATATATTTCCAATAATGTGTTTCCAAACTGATAGGAAAAATCGGAGAACATTTTCCCATTTGACTGTACAGTGGCTGAAGACTATAAATTAAAACGGAAACTGGTTTTTGGCTTGCTAAAATCTGGAATGGTGTAGAATGGAGAGTAAATCAATTTTTTTAAGAAGTGCAGAGATTAGGGAAGTAAAACTTAGATTTTTTTTTTGATTGTCTCCCTCTTGCCACTCCCCTAAAAAATCCTAAGAGTGGTTACTACATTCCCTCCTTTCTCTTCAGTTCCCATTGCTATCACATGCTTTACTAGAGGTCTAGACATCAGGAAAGAGAAAACAGATGTCCTCTGCCCAGGAGGCTGTCCTCTTGAAGAATTCTCCGTGTTTGGGAACATAGTATATGCTTCTGTATCAAGCATCTGTGGAGCCGCTATTCACAGGTAAGCCTAAATATGCCAGGGAGAGAGAAATGCAAGTGTGTCGTTACTTCTTTTCCCTGGTTAAACATCTGAACCACCCACCCTCACTCCATTTTCTTTCTTTTGGTGTCAAATTTGGCCATAGAAAATGGAGAATTTATGTAATTTTCCTGAATTTCCTTGAATACCAACTATAAAATGGAAGATTTCTCACTAAAGACAAATTGTATTATCTCACTAGCTAGATTCCTGTGATTCTAAAACATTCCGATTCATGTAATGTATCACTGAATTTTTTACTGCGCCAGCCATTGTTTTAACTTCCACAATTCTACAACTACACAAGGCAGATAAAATTTTATGGCAGCTTTTTAAGTACCTTGCCCAAGGTCACCATTTAAGCTGTTTAAGTCCAGATCTCGTTCCAGGGTCCTCTCTGCTATCCTACAAGTAAATGGCCAGTGTGACCTTTTTTTTTAAAATGAAGTCCAACATTGTATATATCTTAGGAAATAGAAAATTGTTTGGTGCTCTTATCTGTAATAAGAGGGAATGGATACAAGTGTGTTTTTATCAACACTTAAGTCTGACATCGGATAACTATTTTCCCAGGCAGATTGTGTGCCGATGTAAGCATTTTTTTTTTTTAAACTGGCAACATCTTTAGATGACTTCCCTGCTAACCTATTTTCTTGATTAATCAGATCAGTAGCTGCAATGTGAAACTATGTCAGTTGGATGTCCCTAAAAAAGTGTGCAGTTTCAGTTGTAATTCCTGTATTGCAGGGGAGTAATTAGCAACTCAGGAGGACCTGTGCGAATCTATAGCCTACCAGGTCGAGAAAACTATTCCTCAGTGGTTGCCAATGGCATCCGATCGCAAACCCTTTCCAGATGGTCTTCTTCTTTCACAGTGACAAGTAGGTATAATTACATTGTTTTTACTTTTGTGTAAATATTACATCCACCCCCCCCCACACACACACAGAAAGAAGTTTTCTGCTTCCTTGAGTTCATCTCTGACTCTGATGGAAAAAAAATCTGTGATCAGTTCTGAATAGGTCAACTACTGGTTATAGTCAGGGGACCTACTTGGTTAATGATTCTCTGAAGCCAAATTATGGTGAATAGGGGAAAAATAACTTTGCTGTCAGAAGATGGCAATGGAAAATTGAATTATTTGCAATCAGGTATCCTGACATTTACCAAGTAACACTAAATTGAAAAACTAGTAAATGAATATGAATCCATTTTTGATCCATTTAAAATATAATGGATAAGATCTACTTTGGTTCTTTGAAACTAGCATGCAGCAATTACTCCTGCAAATGCCATCACTCACATTACAATTATCCTCCCATAAAACTCTAAATTAGATTCATTATGCCATGATTGTAAAAGAGGTGGAAAATAATACCCTTCTGTTTATTTTAACAGAAGGCAAAAGTGGTACCCAGGAAGCTACAGGACGAGCAGTGTCCACAGCACGTCCTCCAACAGGTATGAAATATGGAACTTAATGCACAGCATTTGAAAGTTAAAAATGTGTTGCAATAGAAATGTCCTTTTTAAAAAAAACTGATGTAATAGCAAATATCTTGTTTGCTGCTGTATTACATAGGAAATACTCAATTTTATATTTCAAATTTCTTATTCTTCAGTTTTAATTAATAGCTCTACCACCAAACATTTTTTTGAGGTTCTGCCATTTCTTCATTTCTCCCTGATTTGATTAGCCATGCCCAATAACTGGTTAAAGTATTTTGAACTTCTCATTTGTCTCATGAACAAAAGAAATTAGTGTGTTTCTATTGCTGGGATCTCTTTTCTAAGACTGTGGCAGTTTTTAAAATCAAAGAAATTAAAAACATTAGAATCTGTGAGTTTCTAATACTATCTCAACTGTGGGTTTGGAATATTAAAGTCCCAGACAGCTACTGTCCCGAATTGTTTCTTTGTTGGGGGCACTGTGTCTTCCATCCAGAAAATCATCAGGAAATTAAAATTGAAGACATCTTTTCAAGAATGGTACTGCTCATCATGAGCTTTTCTCCATTTGGGCTTCTTGTTATGGAACTGGTTTTCCGTTTGCTAATGTCAATTGTTTACTTTGTTTCAGGTAAACGACTCAAGAAAACATCTGAGAAGAAAGCTGGCAATAAAGGTAAGAGTACAAATGCCCAGATACCATTTGGGAAAAAACATTCTCTTCCTTCTTTCCTCTTGAAACTGCTTAAATAAAGACTTGTTTGGGTCTCCACAGACTGTAAAGCAGACATAGCATTTCTTATCGATGGAAGTTTTAATATTGGGCAGCGCCGATTTAACTTACAGAAGAATTTTGTTGGGAAAGTGGCTCTAATGTTGGGAATTGGAACAGAAGGACCACACGTCGGCCTTGTTCAAGCCAGGTACCAACCTAGTTAAAATGAGGAGACGTGAATGATGACAAATGATCAATCCTTTAAGTAGGTTCAATATAAACATGGTGAGTTCTGAATAATCTGGATTCCAAACTATAAATTCAGGATTTAAGACTGCCTGGGTAAATCTAAGTGCTTTGTTTTCGAAATAAAATGATTTAGAGAATTATATATTACCTATATGAGTACCAGAAGATAGATTAAAAGATCTTATTGTTCATACAAATTACCTCTGCACACGACGATGCTTAATTCCTAATCTTTCTTCTGTGAAGCAGCAGTGATGTCTATTTCTCCTCTCTATTCTGTCATTATTCTTTTTAGCTTTTTCCATATTCCACTGACTAGAGATCTTAAGTGTGTTTTTATTCATTTAAAAATATGACTTTTCGAATTTTAATGTGCTTATTATAGGAAGTTTGAAAAACATAAAAAAGCACAGAAAAAACAAATTTCCCCAAGATATCATGAACTGTAAAAGGTTTTACTCTCTTCCAGTATTTTAATAAAATATTTGGCTGTACTTATTTTTCAAAAGCTCAGTCTATAAGAATGATCTTATATTCTGTTTTTTCATCCTTTAACATTTTGAGCATTTTACCATGCCATAAATATTCTTCAAAAATGGTATTTTGTAATGTTCTATTCTTTTGCATAATTCCTTAGCCATTCTTCTACTTTTTCACCATTACACTTTACATTGTGATAAACATCTTTAATCCTTTTGCATTCTTTGGTGACTTCATTAGGCTGTTTCCTAAAAGTGAGATTGAGCCAAAGAATTCTGACATATAAGGTTTCTGATGCAAAGTGATCCAGTTCAAATTAGTGTCAGCAGTGCATAAGGGTATCACTTACTATTCCAAATATCAACTTATATTTTGTTTTTATTTTTTACAATTGTTTTTTTTTCTTTTTTAAAGATTTATTTATTTATACAAGAACCGGGGTACAGGCCAGATGTGCGGGAGGGTGAGAGGATCCACCAAAGACAGAATGGAGACCAGAACAGGCAGACTGACTGAAATACACTGCTGAGGGGAGCAGCGGGCAAGGCAGGAGAGATTTGCTGCACCATGTGGGTATCTCCATGGCCGGCAGGGATCGCACCAGCACTGCAAAGGCTTGGAACAGCTTCACAGTACTGTGCTCAACCGCCTGTGCCACCAGTGAGGCCCTACAATTCTTTTTTTTTTTTTTTTTTTTTTAAAGATTTATTTATTTATACAAGATTGATTGATTGATTGATTTATACAAACACTGGGTACAGTCAGAAGTGCGGGAGGGTGAGAGAATTCACCAGAGCCAGAGCGGGGAGCAGAGCAGGCAGAAGGACCGAAGTACACTGCTGAGGGGAGCAGCGGGCGGCAGGAGAGGTCTGCGCGCCATGTGGGACCCTCCTTCGGTGGCCGGGGAGCAGCCGGGGATCGAACCGGCGCTGCAGAGGCAGCGGGTAGCTTCGCAACCCAGCGCTCAACCACTGCGCCACCAGGGAGGCCCCTCTTTTTTTTTTTTTTTTTTTTTTAAAGATTTATTTATACAAGCACTGGGTACAGTCAGAAGCATGGGAGGGTGAGAGAATTCACCAGAGCCAGAGCAGGGAACAGAACAGGCAGAGTGATGAAATACACTGCTGAGAGGAGCAGCGAGCAGAGCAGAAGAGGTCTGTCGCGCCATATGGGACCCTCACCAGCAGCTGGGGATCGAACCGGTGCTGCAGAGGCTGCAGGCAGCTTCGCAGCCTAGGCTCAACCGCTGCGCCACCAGGGGAGGCTCTAAAATTGGTTTTTAATTAGATTTTTTGGATGTGAAATTTATCTTTTTGTTGTTTTCCATATAATTTAACCATTTGTCCTACACTTTTTTTAAATAGAGATTTCTTATTCCATTGATTAATGACATCAATTTTATGTATAAGTTTGGACAAGTCTGTTTCATGATCTATATGCCAATTCTTACATCTTTTTGAATATTGTAGCTTTATTGTACATCTCATCATCCCAGAGGGCAAGTTTCCCTAAATGCTTTTCTTCTTATACTGTTCCTTACTAATTTTACCCAATTCTTTTTCAAGACAAAGAAAGACTTATAAAAACAAAGACTTATAAACACATACAAAGACTTGCTTCTTTAATATACTTTTTGCCTTATAGTTTTTCTATTTTAGGAAGAACATTAGAATAAACTATATGACAAGTTATACATTTAAGCAGAATAGCTGACCATATTAAAGATGTAAAAGTAATCATAAGGTGAAAAGGTTATCAACCCATTAAATCTGATTTTGTGACCTAACAGTCCATTAAATATAAAGAAATTATGCTACCACATATGCAGAAATAGAATCAGTGCTTGTTCCTCAAAAATCCTGACATAATGGTAATTCAAAATGAAATAATGAAAAGATCTTAAAATTTTGCATTTATGAAATGACTTATCTAAAAACTAAACACAAGAAATTGTGCCTTGTTTTTACTCAATATAGTCTCTAATGAACAGAGAACAGTTACAAAAGTGAGCTAAAATTGCTTTATTATTAATTATGGAAAATCATAAATCTGTTATAGTAGTTTTAAAATTTGGCTGTCGACATCTTAATAAAAAAGTCAGTATTGTAATACTCTGCAATTCATTTCCTTTTAACATTTCTTATTTTAAAAATGTCAGTCATAGTGTCATTTAAATCGCCTTTCTGACCAGAGACCTGGGTTAATGGACTTATGTTCTGTGCTTCCACAGTCCCTCATTGGGGTAGATCTCACCACCTTCCAGCTGTCTGGTGCCCAACTCTGCAGGCTTCTATGAAACCCAGTGCCATGAAACCAGACCTGGTTTCAGATGTTCCTTATTAAAATGTGGCTATTTTTATTGGGCAAATTACCTAATTTTTTTCAGTTTCTTCATTTATGAAATAACTTCTACCCTGTAGAGTTAGATGAGATTATACATATATGTATTTAGCATATTTCCCAGAGTATAATAAATCCTCAAGGTAACAATTTTCTTTTGTTATATTCCTAAAATATCCCTAAAAATTCAAGAAGAAATTTCAAGCAAGGATGCAATGCCTTAGTTGACTGCTTAGTTGAAACTAAGAAGAAACTTGGGCATTGTCTAATTTAAAGACTTTCTTAAAGTTATATAATTTGCCTGTTTTACCTTTTCAATACTCTATGGATAACACTGTTTTCATTTTTCACTTAGTGAACACCCCAAGATAGAATTTTACTTGAAAAACTTTACATCAGCCAAAGATGTTTTGTTTGCCATAAAGGAAGTAGGTTTCAGAGGGGGTAATTCCAATACAGGTAAGTAGAGCTTTGCACCTAGTAGATAACACAGGACAGGGTTATGAATTACGACTTGTAAAAACAGTATTATGGCATTTTGTATGAGCCTATGTGAATCTCTACCTCCTGGTACTGGATCTTAGCTAGGTCTACACTTTACCATTTGAGATAAATATACCAAAGGGTTAACCTAAATAAATATATGTATATATAAATGCCTTGTGATTTATACACCTATAGTGCATAGGGCAGATGTCACTTTAGAAAACTGCTTAGTTTGTAAAAAAGCAGCAAAGACCAACAGACTTGAATGCATGTGTGCAAATGTGATGGCAAGAACTAGAGCAGCGCTGTGGACCCTTTTAGAGAAAATTATTATTCTGAGTCTTTAGAAGTACTAATCTGTCACTAAGAGGAGGGATAGAGCACAAGTACAAGAGCAGGAGTCAAATTTTGTGTTCTGACCAGTGATATGAGGAAATGAAATGTGAGACTTCTGGGAGATAATGAAGTATTATTGGTTATGAAGACAAAAAAACATGCCTGATGGATAATTAAACTTTCCCATCTGGTATGTGTCTATTACAGAACCAATTTCTATGTAAGTTAAATTCTTAAACTTAATGGCATCAGATTGATACAGGGATATAGAAATGTCATTTGAGCAGTGATACTGTTTCAGTTTATTTTCTATTTTCTAACCTAGGAAAAGCCTTGAAACACACCGCCCAGAAATTCTTCACAGCAGACTCTGGAGTGAGAAAAGGGATCCCCAAAGTGGTGGTGGTATTTATTGATGGTTGGCCTTCTGATGACATTGAGGAAGCAGGAATTGTGGCCAGAGAGTTTGGTGTCAATGTATTTATAGTCTCTGTGGCCAAACCTATCCCTGAAGAACTGGGAATGGTTCAGGATGTTGCATTTGTTGACAAGGTAAGGAGATGAGCGGTGTCTTTGGTTATGGCAGTGATTCAGTGTTGGGACTCTAGGTGTAGTGCTGATCGGTCCATATCTAGACTATTTAAAATATTTCTGTAATTCTAAAGCTTGACCCCATTGATTATCTTTCTGTCTCCCACATTAGGCTGTCTGTCGGAATAATGGCTTCTTCTCTTACCACATGCCCAACTGGTTTGGCACCACAAAATATGTAAAGCCTCTGGTACAGAAGCTGTGCACTCACGAGCAAATGATGTGTAGCAAGACCTGTTACAATTCAGTGAACATTGCATTTCTAATTGATGGCTCCAGTAGTGTTGGAGATAGTAATTTCCACCTTATTCTGGAATTTGTTTCCAACATAGCGAAGACTTTTGAAATCTCAGACATTGGTGCAAAAATAGCTGCTGTACAGTTTACCTATGATCAGCGCACAGAATTCAGTTTCACTGACTATAGCACCAAAGAGAACATCTTGGCTGTTATCAGAAACATTCGCTATATGAGTGGTGGGACAGCTACTGGTGATGCGATTTCCTTTACTGTCAGAAATGTGTTTGGTCCCATAAGGGATAGCCCCAACAAGAACTTCCTGGTAATTGTCACAGATGGGCAGTCCTATGATGATGTTCGAGGCCCTGCTGCTGCCGCACATGATGCAGGTAAGATCCTTCTCCTTTGGAAATTGAGAGATTGAATGAAATTAGGATCAGATATAAATTTAAGCACTTATTTTACTGAACAAAAACTTGCAGTGTGAAAATCATTGTTCTGAAATCTTTGCCCAGTATTAACTGACTTGTCAAAGCTGCCCTACAATTTCAGTCTACAGATAAGGAAATAAACTTTGACAAATTCAAACAGCAAGTATAAGTGATGAGGCCAGTATTCAAACCCAGGAACCTGGCTGAATCTACACTCATAACCATTGTATTGTTGGGGGAATTGCCATAAAAACTTTGTCAAGGAAATACGTGGCCATGTTTGGCTCAAAATTGGAAATATTGCCCCTTTCCCTGGTCAGCTTCTCTTAATGTAGTATCAATCTACTTAAAATTTATCCTAGCCTTTCAAAAATTATCAGTCTGGTGAGTTTTCTAAAATGAGTCACCACAGATTTTAATCCTATTCCATCTACACTTTTTTTTTTTGAGATCATGAACACTGTGATGTTATGAAAGAGTATAAAATGGTTTCCTTCCTCACTTACCCCTTCTTTAATATCACTTATGGCAAACATTACTCTTGAAAACATTAACATAATGTGTTGAGATCAAGAAAACCAAGAGCTAAGGTTACATTTCCTGCACTTAACTCAGTAGTCAACTCATTTAAAAACAAAAAAGCTAATTTGGAAGGGAACAATCAAGTCTTGCTTTTTTTTCCTGTCATCTTCCCTATTTAATTCTTACGATTTAAACTTTTACCTTTTAAAAATTAGCCCCACTGCTATGTATTTACATAATTTGGGGGTATCGATGGAATATTAAGTAGGATAGAGAACTGACACATGCAACTTAAAACTACGTATGCTTGATTTTATATTTTAGCAACTATTTTCAAGACTTGTCAGCTCTATTCCTGAAGAACATAGCTTATTGACCTAATTTGTGGTTAACAGGGGTGAATTGAGGCTAAATGAAATGGCCTAATTCAAATGAATTTTCCCTGTGATTAATTGAACTTCAAGAGGTTGGGCCACACTAGTTTGATGAAAATTATAAAAAAAACAAAAATTTTAGGGACAGGTCACAAAAATTTTTTTAACTGTAATTCTATATTGGACCTGAACTTGAACATGTTAACGAAAAGTGAGGAAAACTGAGGGTAGATCTTGACTTTTCCTCTTTCTTGCCAGGGAGAAAGGATTGGCTGCATGGTTACCAGAAACTGTTTCAAGTAGCTTTTACATCATCTAAACTTGCTTTATCTTTATCTTGGGTATTCACAAGTCTGAGCACTCTATAGCGCTAGAATGGGGTTACTGATACAGAACATCACACTAATGTAGTAAGATACCTAACCAAAATGTAGAGCTGGACTAAAAACCTTCTAGTAATTCAAGGGAATGCAGATGGCATGTGTCAATCTAACTGAAAGAAACCATTCTAGCTTCATACATTTCACTGTTCGTATTGCCAGATTTTTGCTTTGGGATTAAACACAACTTCTGACAACTGATCAATTTGCCAATGTAACATGATGATTGAAATGGAAGGGTTATTTTTCAGAGTACCAGTCACATTTCTGACAATGTAACAATCTTAAAAATTTTCACCATTTATGTACTCCATTTTTGTGCCATTCTTTATATGTATTGGCTGTGGCTCTAGTATAACTGCGTGTAGTACTGATAGCAGGCAGTCTCATTTCACTACATCTGTTAGCTGTAGCATTTGGTCTGTTACTCATTAGATATTATCAGGTTAAGAAAGTTCCCTCTACTTCTGTGTCCTATTATGAGTGGATTTTTTTCCTATCAGTGATCGTAATGATTTCTTTTATGCTACTGTGGTCAATTACAGTGGTGGCAAACCTGGTTTTGACCAACTGCTCAGCTACTGTCAAACCTAGTATTTATAGTAGTCTTCAGACATTAATAGTTTTATCTGCAATTGTGTTCTAATGTGTGAAAAATACCTAATTTTAAATATAACCTGGAACTTGGTTTTAAATTTTAAAATATTTTCATTGTAGGTATCACCGTTTTCTCTGTTGGTGTGGCATGGGCACCTCTGGATGACCTGAAAGATATGGCTTCTAAGCCAAAGGAATCACATGCTTTCTTCACAAGAGAGTTCACAGGATTAGAACCCATTGTTTCTGATGTCATCAGAGGAATTTGTAGAGATTTCTTAGACTCCCAGCAGTAATGATGACATTTTGACAACTGAAAGAAAAGTGCAAGGCACCAAATGTATAAGTGTATTCTTGTAATGCTGCAACAATATATAGATTACTAGGATGAGATACAAAACTATTAAAGATGTCAACAGCTATTTTAAACAAACAAGCATTCATTTAAAGCTACTACTTTCTAATTACAATTTAGACTTAATTGTTCAAAACATTCTGCTGAAGCTTCATAATCATGACTCTTAGAAACTCAGGAAAGAAGAGATATTATGGATTAAAATATTAGTTCTAACATGCCTACTACATGTATACATATGCAAATTCCAGAGCTCTTAATAAAAGAATTTGATACTTAGAACAAAAGCAATATTCCTTTTCTAATCATTCTGTATTGAATATAAGGAAAAAGAAACAAATAGAAAGCATTTTTACCCAAGTAGATGCTGTCTTAAAGCCAACAAGAGCTATTACTTGATATACAAAAAAGCTATAATTATGTGTCAAGCTTCTTCTGTAGTGTACATAACTGAATTACACTGAAGATAGGATTGTCTGGTATTTTTCTATTTATATCCTTAATTTTATATGTGTACAGATATATTTAGCTTGTACTTTAAAAGTCACCCATACACTTAAAAAAATGTTAAACTGGTCAATTTTTACTTGCCACTTATACTTTAATTAGCTTTTAGAAAAAAAAAAAAAAACCCACCTATTTCAAATAGGAGACCTGCAGGAAAAAATACTATAGTTGAATACTTAACAATAAAACTGTTAGTGACGAGTATTCTAAGATGTCTTTTTCTTACTCCAACGCCTCTTTATAGGACATGGTAAAAATTCTGTATTCACTAGTTCATTTGGAAAGAATTGCCTTAAAATCATGTAATAAGTGTATTTCCTTTTTTTTGGTGAGAACATATTTGAATTATTTTATTTTATATAATTCTTACATCTTTTTTCATCTTTGCATAATGTATGCATATATTTCCTTTTTTACTGTTCTAGGATTATAACAACTGCTACCTAATATGAGACCTAGTATGAGATACTTTTAATTACTTGAATTCAACAAATTTTTTGTAATTAACAATACTTTTACTTAAATGTGCTTATGAAGATGGTTCCCAAGAAAAGTGAACATCAGCAGCAGTCTTTCTGCCCACCTATGACTATGCAGTTGCTCCTTTTCATCAACACTCTCTCTGCAAGGCAGCAGCCTTCCTGCCTTGCCTGTACCAAACTGGGCTTCTCTTTACTGACCTTCCTCAGCAGAGGCAGCTCTCCTCAAGGCCGCCCACCTGTGACTATCAGTCCTCTCTCTTAGCAAACCTGTCCCTTTTCAGGGCAGCCCTTTCTGCCCCTTTATGTCTATGCAAGTGTCCTTTATTCTTCTCTCCCATTTATAATAAACCTGCCCTTTTGGATTTAAAATAAAAAAACAGTGAACATCAGAACTCCTCTAGTGGGACTTCACCAAGAACTCTCCCCTCAAATGGAGGTGCTCGATTATCCCATACTACCTTGTACTGACAGAGCTATCATACCCCCTCATCCACCTGTGCACCACCTTTTCTCCCTTTATATATACACCAGTCCTAAATGAAATGGTTTACAACCAGTTAATCTACAAAAAAATGTTAACTGGTTAAAATAATACACTCCAGGAAACTTTTGAGGATTAATTTTTTAGTTCATGTAAAAGGAATGAATTGAAATTGCCTCTACACTACACAAAAACTTAACAGTATTGGAAGACAAAAACACTCCCCCTCTTTTAATGTTTTATTTTTTAAGATTTTATTTATGTATGCAAGAACTGGGGTGTAGGTCAGAGGTGAAAGGTGTTTGTAAAGATTCACCACAGAGTGGGGAGCAGAACAGGCAGATCTACTGAAATACACTGCTGAGTGGAGCAGCGGGCAAAAATGGAGAGATCTGCTAAGCTGTGTGGGTTAGCTCCCTGGCTGGGAATTGAATTCATGGTGCAGTGGCTGGCAGATAGCTGATAGTGCTGAGACTTTAACCCCTGCACCACCAAGGAGGCCCTCCCCCACTTTTTATAAGAAGCTGCAAATACAAATCATACAAAAGGACAATTTTCATTATTTAAATAAACAATGGCTACACTTAGCTGAGAGTACCCCGTAAAAATTTAAACCTAAATGAAATCCAGTCTCCAGTTATTAGCTCTTTTAAAAGATTTTTTTCTCTTTAATTTTATAAAGGACAAATTTGTGCAGTATCTGAGGTAACCTGGGAAGTTAATACTTCACTTAAAAGTTGCGAGAGCAGAAAGTATCACTTTACTAAATTACTATCATGTTTTTACAAGTGAACAGTCAAAATAAAAAACTAAAAGGGAGGAGAATAAGAATATTTTAAAAAATACTTATACCCCAACTTTAGCAGGCATATCTAAATTTCAAGTATGTTAGCTCATTTATAAACTTTAACACATTAAATGAAATGTATGCTGGTTTTCAGTGGATAACTTGTTGAAATATTAGAAAAGTACATGAATAACTAAATTAGAAAGAAGTTTGATTAAATAATGAGAAAGTCAACATATTTAAGTTTGCATATAAAAATATTTTTAAACTTTATGTACAAAGCAGTTATTTAGTAGTCAAATGAATCTATGTAATTTCCCATAAGTCACAAATGGAAGCACACAAGTAAAATGAAAATAAGACATTCTTTTTGCATACTTTTAGTCTCTTCCAAATGTTTAAATATAGAGAAAAATATAACCAAAGTAGGTAAGATAAAAATAAACATATATACTAATCTTCATTCAGCTTTAATACATTCTGAAAGAGATAATAAGAAGTCACATTTCAATTAAACAGTAATGATTATTGATTATTATTTTCAATAGCTGCCTGAAATAGTACTAGCTGTGGAAAAGTTAAAAAAAAAAGGAAAAAAATACTCCTTTTGTTTATTGACTCTTCAGTTCATAAAATCCCCAAAATTAATATTTTAAGAAAATTTTTGAAGTTTTACTGTTTTATCAACAGTAAGCATAACTGCTACTTGGAGTTTTATGGTAAATGAAAACTTTCTCTATATACATACAATGTAATTTTTTTTACAGTAGGTATTCAAGTAGAATTTTGTCACCTTTCTATTGCTACCTTTTAATTCCACTTGCAATTCTCTTCAAATAAAAAGGATGTTATTTATTGAAGGAAAAAGTTTTAAGATATTAATACTTACCAAATTTATAAAGACAACCTTTAATAAAAAATGCGGTTTATTCTTTGCTAAATTCTTTTTGTGGAAAAAGCTATGGCCAGATAGGAATGACAACACTATTAACTAAAAATCGTATTTAATAAGTAACAGGATATTTAAGGAAATGATTTACAACTGTATCTTTGTAGGAGGTTAATTTTTTGTTTGAGTTTCTAACTTATTTCGTTAAATTTTTAAATCCCCAAATGGAATGAAATTTAGAAAGGCATTCTTAAGTTGTTAATTATTCTAATCTTATTAGGATATCAATAAGCAGTGCAAAGTTTAAAAGAACAGCATAAAAATGAAGGACTCACTGAGAAATTATCTCCATTTCCTAGTTTAATGATGGAGAGTAAAGTATTGCACTTTATTATTCAACACAAAATAATGTAGCCAATAGTAACATACAGGTACACAATTTAATATTTATTATATGCATTTTATATACATTATTTTTCAACAGCTGTGTGTTAGCTAAGTGGTACAATCTTAAAAATTTGCTGATTCATAGTTTGTAAAACAAAAACCTTACAAAACTCATCAAAACTCGCAAACCGATCAGAAAAATTTTTTGGAAGACTAGAAAAAATACTTTATTGTCTTAATCATGCATTACACAAACAAAATCTTTAGTTACACCATAAAATTAAGCACATCTGAAAAAATAAAACAGGGATAACTAATCCAAACACAGCAGATTTCTGTATCCTGATTCAACTATTTTTTATCCTATTTGTAATGCAAATAAAGTTTTACGCCAAATATTTTTAAACAAGATAGTTTTGTTTGGAATCATGGTAAACCAAGATGTATATGGGGGAATTACCTTGGTTTGTACCTTAAACTATAAAATATTCCATTTTTTTAGTCTATTTTAGACTATTCAAAGAATTCCAAAATAGATATACAGGTTCCTTTAGCACATTAATAAAAGGATATAAAGACCGACAAAAAGTGAAATAAATAATAAGCTATTAGCAAGATGGATAATCCTTGATAAATAAACTTGTAAATACAGTAAGATGTACAAAATATCACATAGTGATAGGATGCCAAGATTAGCTTTTTTTTTCTTTTTAAGAGTTCATTTGGAGTACTAAACCCCATTGGTTTCATTTTAATACACTTAATAGTCCTTGGTTTATAAAGAAGACAAGTATGTGATGATGAAGATTTAGAATCTGTATGGAAGGACTTAGCTGAGCTGTATTAGGCAAAAGAAGGAAAAGGTGTGGTTACACGGCAGCGGGTCAGTGAGATCTCTGTGTTTTAGGGTTGTATTAATGCAGAAAAACTTCGATACAATCTTGAGCACTGTTGTGACAGGCTAAATATATAAAAAGACTTATAAAAACTAGAATTTTATCCAAACATTTTGTGCAACTAATGCTAAAATATTTTAAGTTAAATTTTCTTTTTTTTTTTTTAAAGCAAAATAAGTTTAAAAGGGAATCTGTGGCATTGAACTGATAAACAGAAGATCACTAAGAGATGAAAAAAAGCTACTCTTGGAGCTCACTTCCCCCCCACAAGAGCACCACATTCCTAACCCTAAGGCAGCACACAGAGTCCAAAATAAGTCTTTTTGTAAGATCAGACTCCACACTGGCTTAAAGATATCTAAAAAACAGACATATGCTCAGTTCATATCCATTATAGGCCACAAATACTGGAGTCCTTTTTTCGTCCCACAAAATACAGTAATTACAATTAAATTAATGAGCCTGACATTTAGATGTGATTTCTACCAACTTATGCCTGCCCCAAATAGCCTTCACCAGGTAGAGCACATGTAGTGTCATATCAGTAACAATTTTGATGGCAGTGATGCAGACCCTCTTTCTGTCCAAGTAAATCGGTTGTTAGGATGAGAGTTTGGGTTGATTCACACAAATACTTTAGCAAGGGCATCAGCCCCGGCACTGGCAATATATGCTTTTGATGGATGGAAAGCAACATCATAAATCGATTCATCTAATTTCTTCCTATGTACTGTTATTTCTTGCACACAAGTCTTGCTGTCTAAATTCCACAATCTAATAGAACAGTCATGGCCTGTAAAAAAAAACAAACAAACAAAAAAAACAAACAAACAAACAAAAAACAAATAAAGTATGTTATTGA